TTTCTTTCCCACTTCTATGCCTTCTGGTTCCTTGCCCAGACACCGTTGCTAATAGTGTCTGGATCCACTGTTGATGTATTTCTTGTGGCTTAGACTTGGATTCAGGCCCTTACCTCTTACCATCCATCTTCCTCCCATGGAGCCTGGTACAATACTCATAAGCTGTTAGGAGTTGATGCTAGCTCTCTACGGACTGGCATCCAGTTTTATGGTAGCTGGTATGTCAGAATACCTAAGAAACTGGTCATTGGACCACATTTTGAAGGTCACCTAGTTTTTACACTACCCAATTCCAAGGGGTTACCACTCACACAAACTGTGAAAGGAGTGTCACATAGTGGAGTTTGGCAGCACAATAGCCCTATGTGTCCTCCAGGGGCCTCACATGACTGGTGCTCTGCTGGCTGACCTGGAAACTGCCCTAGCTTTTTCCTTTCATATTTTTGTCTGTTTCAGTGGGGGGCTAAAAATTAAGGTGGAGTAAACCAAACCCTTCAATAACTCATAAAGATAATTTTTTGTCCTTTACACTTGCATCAGGAAAACCCAATGATGCTCTGCTGGATAGCTTTAGTGTCAACTTGACACACCTGGGTTGAGGGAGCCTCAATTGGGGAATTTCCTCTAATGGACCGGCCTGTGGCCATGTCTGTGGGGGAATTGATTGTTGAATGATATGGGAGAGCCCAGCCCACTGTGGGTGGTGCCACCCCTGGGCAGGTGGGCCTTTGCTGTATAAGAAAGCAGGTTGAGCAGGGGCCAAGGGAGCAAGCCAGTAATCAGTGTTCCTCCATGACCTGTGCTCCAGCTCCTGCATCCAGGTTCCTGCCTTGAGTTCCTACCTTGGGCTCCCTGGTGAATTGTGACCCAGGAGAGGTAAGCCAAATAAAGCTTTCCTCTCCAAGTTGGTATTGGTCAGAGTATTTTGTCACAGCAATGGAGAAACAAACTAGGACAGATGCTAATTAAAATAGAGATTATCTCCCTCCTGTATTTTGCTTAAAAGAGGAGCTCAGGATGAGCAAGACTTGCTGAAGTATTGGGAACTGATTACACAGATAACTATGGGAAACCATAGTGCCTCAATTAACACCACTGCCTTTAACCTGTTGAACTATTGGAAACCTTTTCTGGCTTGGTTCAATTCAAAAACTGCTTAGTTGCTCCATGCCAACAACTAAGGGAATCATGCCAACTACATAGGGAATCAGATGTGAGCAATAGGGCTTTTGCTGTCCAGGGACTAAAAATCTATTTGGAAATAAAAGATACAAAACAAATGCACATTAACATCCGAATATATATGTGGATCACATAGATCTTTATTTTCTAGACAGGGTCTCACTGTGTAGTCCAGGATGGCCTTGAACTCACAGAGATTGGCCTGCCTCTGCCTCCCAAGTCCTGGGATTAAAGACATATGCACCATTCCTGATGCAGATATTTTTTAAAAAATATTTTATTAATTATTTTTATGTTGAAAATATATGCGGGTTTTGCCTGCATATAGGTAAGTGTGCCTGTGTAATGCAGTGCCTGTGTAGGACAGAAGAGGCTGTCGGATCCCCTGGAACTGGAGTTATAGATAGTTGTTAGCTGCCATGTAGGTGCTGGATTTGAACCTGGGTCTTCTGCACGAATAGCCAATGTTGTTAACTGATGAGCCATCTCTCCAACCCCCCTGTTATAGATATATTTTTTTAAAAATAAGTAGGATTGTCAGATTTTAGGGGTAGCTGGTATCATAGGGATAACATAACTTCTGAACCTGTGGTACTTGGTTTCAGTACTTGAGCCAGACAAACTCTGGATAGTGGAAAAAGTTCTATAGAGAGTTAAAAAATTCAGTTTTGTATTCAAATGTGACCTCAAGTAAGCAATAGATGATTGTTCATTATAGGAAAATTAGTTTTTGATTTGAATGAAACTTATTTTGCATTTATTCACTAATTAAAAATTGTTTAAGTGCCAAGCGTGGTGGCTCATGCCTTTAATCCCAGCAGAGGCAGGCGGGTGTCTGTGAGTTCAAGGCCAGCCTGGTCTACATAGTGAGTTCCAGGACAGGTGAGGCCACAGGAAGACCCTGTCTCAAAAAAACAAAAAAAAAAAAAAAATGTTTAAGCTCGTATGTATATGAACTAGTATAAACTGGTATATATGTAAATATATGTGTGTATATAAGTACATATGGGGGATAGCAAGTTTATTGGTCCCCTAAAAGGTGCCAAAATCTGTGGCACGTGTTTCTGCTGTTTTTCCAAATTTCTTTATATTTTTATATAAATATATGTATATATAAATATCATATATGTTATACAAACTGTATCTTTAGCTGTGTATTCTGTTTATTTAATATCTTCTGTTGGAGTGGTCAAGAAAAGAAAGGACCTTATTTAATTAATTAATTAATTTTTGCCTTTTTGGGACAGGGTCTCCCTTTAGCCCCAGCTGGCCTGGAAGTCACTATGTAGACCAGGCTGGCCTTGAACTCACAGAGATCCACCTGCCTCTGGCTCCTGAGTGCTGGGATTAAAGGCGTGGGCTATCATGTCTGGCAGGACCTTATTTTTTTGACAGCTATCCTGTGATTAGTGCATTAAAATGGTATCTGTAGTATACTTGGCGGAAAGGAATCTTCAAGTTACCTAAGCATCATCGTAAAGCTATTTTTGCCCACTCATTTTCCCTAAAAGATTTCCACAGTGTAAAATTATACTTCAGGTGTAAAAAAAATCATTTTGTGGTTTTGGTCATGTCTCTATTATCTGAGTATGGCTTTTCATTTGATAATGTATTGGTTTAGATTAGAAGACTGTGGAAGCCTTTATTGAGTATCTTTTGGGCCCACTCTGCCTAGAGAACTGGACAGAGCTACAGATTGTCTCAGGATGTTTTGCTGCTGAAGAAATTGTAGCTTCACACCCAGAGACTTGCTGCTGTTAGAATAATGCTGGTTAGTGATGAATGTCCAAGAATTTGGCTGCTGTTGTTAGTGGCCCTTGAACCTTAGACACAGGAATTTTGGTTCAGTGACTTCTTCTCAAGAGTAGAGAGTCATCGGGGTGTGGTGGCACACCCCTTTAATCCCAGCACGTGGGAGGCAGAGGCAGATGGATCTCTGTAAGTTCAAGGCCAGTCTACAAAGGGAGTTCCAGGCCAGCTGGGGCTACAGAGAGACCCTGTCTCAAAAAAAAAAGACCAAAAAAAAAAAAAGTACAGAGTCTACTTTGCTCATCTCCTGACCCCTGCCCAGATGTTCTGGGAGCCAGTCATCTTCTCCCTTCACCAGGCTCTTCTTTTAAATCTCAATTCTTGGTTTACTTTATCATCATCCTCCCTACCACCTGAACTGAATGATTTCAGAGAAATTGAGGGTTAAACTTTGGAACTTTTATTATCCTTGTCGGAGCCAGCCTGAGGTTTTCGGCTACCATTTATAAAAATTATGCCCAGCATAATTTTAATTTTTATCACCTTCTCTGTGCAAACACACACCACCATATGCTTCTAGCAATGCTGCTGGTGCTTCACAGCAAGTAAAAATTTCTGGAAACTTTAAAAGTCTGAAATAAAAACTTTGTGGGCACAGTGGAGTGAAAGTAGGAAATTTGGGGGAAGAAGTAGAAATAAGTGCCAGTCTTTGTCACCTTTTAGAAGACCAAAAAAATTTCTTTTTCTCAGTAGAGGAAAATATGGGAAAAGGGATACCAGGTATGGATTGTTTATAAAAATGGGCACTTTTGGTGAAAGGAAGACTAAAACTCACTAATATAATCATTTGTGTTCCTCTTACCCTCAAAATGCACAGTTTTGGTGTGAAGGGAGACTAGTAAATAAAATCATGATGCTTTATAAAAATAATTCTCATATTATTCTTTTGTGTCAGCCATATACTTCCAATTCTGTCTGTCTGTCTGTCGGTCAGTCTGTCTGTCTGTCCATTCTGTCACTGGGCCTCTTTCTAATGCTAGGCAATTGCTCTACAACTGAGCCACGTCCCAGAGCCCACTTCTACTTCTGGAGCGGAACGTGAACAGAGATGATAAGTCCAAACTGTTACATTGGCCGCACAACTTGAAATGAAATTATTTGAACAATTTGAGAACTTTTGGCAAGCCAAAAAAAAAGTAGTGGAAAGTTTAAAACAAAATCAGAATGCTGACTTTTCTTCCTATCTCTTGTTTGCAAGAGCAGCTTCATAAATTTTTAATTGGAGAATGTTCAAATAGAGTCTTAGGGGTGTTGAACATGTGATTCAACTCCTTTATTGACTTCTAAATCTTCCAAAAAACCTGCTAATAACATTATTTGTCACACTTATGTTATATGTTTGTCTGTGTGTATTTTCTGCCTCTAAGGAGTCTACATTTAAGAATAATCTTCCAAAAATCTGTTCATAACTGATTATCTTGGTTATATGTTTGTATGTGTCTGTTTTCTGCCACTAAGGATTACATTCTCTACATAAAAAATAATCACTGTATGTTGAAACAAACAAATGAGATGATAGTTAAGTTTTTTAACATGGCTGGGGTGCGGGGAGAGAATCACTTCTTGATTTTTTTTTTTCTCTTCCTTTGTTTGGTGAGATTAACTTCAGTGCCTTGACCAGCTCTATGAGCATTCTTTATTTCTGTCAGAGTTCTATGATATTTGTTTAAAATTTAGTTACTTTTTCTTGATTTATTTATTTTTACTTTTTGTGTGTTATGCCTGCATGTATGTAAGTGCACCCCTGTTCTGTAGTGCCCACAGAGGCCAGAAGAAGGAATCAGATCCCCTGGAACTGAGAGTTATAGATGGTTGTTTGCCACTATGTGGGTGCTGGAACTCAAACCTGGGTCTTCTGCAAGAGCAACTAGTGCTTTTAACTGCTGAGCCATCGCTCTATCCCCTGAATAACTTTTTAATAAGAAGAAATAGGAATTCCTGTTTAGTTTATCCAAGAAAGAAATCTGGCTTCTTTTATTTTAAACAACTATTTTTTTCTTCTTTTTCAGAGGATGTTAAGCAAGTTTTTGGACAGACTACAATTCATCAACATATTCCATTTAATTGGGATTCAGAATTTGTGCAACTTCATTTTGGAAAAGAAAGAAAAAGACACCTGACATATGCAGAGTTCACACAGTTTTTGCTGGTAGGTCTAATTCTTAAAAAGTGAAAAAGAAACAAGAGCAGCGACAACAAATGCCCCCAAAAGAAATAAAGTAAAACCTGGGATCAGATTGTGTGTGTGAAAAGATCCTTGCTTTAATTTCACTTCAGCCCTGAACCTTGATTTATCACAAGTTTTTAATGCTGGCAAAAATCATCCTATTTAGCAGTATTTCCTTCTTAGTTTGTTGAAATCATAGAATTAAATGCGTTCTGAAAAAGATTGGGTAGAATGCTTTTCTGTTTTGTATTTTTATTTTTATTTTTATTTTTTATTTTATGTGTAGGAGTGTTATCCCTAACTATGTGTAAGTGCACCTGTGTTGTACAGTGCCTGTGGAGGACAGAAGAGGGGGCATCAGATCCCCTGGAGCTGGACTTATGGGTGGTTGTTAGCCACCATGTGGGTACTGGGATTTCAACCAGGGTCTTCTGCAAGAACAGCCAGTGCTTTTTAACTGCTGAGCCATCTCTCCAGCCCCAAGCGCTTTCCTGTTTAAAAGGATACAAATAGTTTTCTCAGGATTACTTGATCAAAGGGGCAAAAATCAGACCTTGAAATTGGGATTTGTAAGTGGCTCTCTCACTGTCTACAAATATTGTGATTCTCCTTGAGAAACAAGCAGATGCAGCCATCTGCATCTAATATTAAAACTGTTTCCTCTGAGGTCTTTATAGATTAAACCTGAGTCTCAACTAGATGCATATTGGAAATCGCCGAGGTAGCTTTGGAAACTATTTTCAGGTCAGCATCTAGGGATTGCCTCCTTGTGTGGCCAGGCTCTGACAACACTGGCTTCCTGGGCAGTTTTGAAGGTATTGGCTATACCTAGCCCAGCCCTTCCCACCACGTTCCTTCCTTACCCTCTTGTATTGTGATCAGATTATTGGGCCATTGATGAGGCCAGCTGAATGGCATTTTAAAGTGTAATTACGTTGTTCATATTCCATGAAAATGCCATAATGAATTCCATCTCTCAAAGGCTAACTAAAAGTGAATTAAAAAGCAGAAATATAGTTATAACTTAGTTTCCCTCATCAAATGTCATTTTAAACGTATTTTAATTTCCACATTGACATTTAGTGTTTGGAGGTCAATTTCTATTAACATATAAATCTCTATAATGAATTCATTTTCTTTTGGATTTTTGTGAACTTGTTTTGTTTCTTCAGCAATCAAATTTATTTTATTAAATGTAATACTTAAAAGCCATCATTGGAAGTTTTTCTTTTGGGGCATTTCAGTTTTAAACCTGAAAAAAGCTGCCAGGGAAAGCACCTTCAGTTCTTCCACACTAGAGGTATCCTTAGCACCCCAGTTACCCTGGTTCTTTTTCCTGCTGTAAGCTTTGCCAGAGCCTTCTGAGCAGAGAGAGGAAAGAGGCACAGCTGGGATAGAGTGGGAGGGGCAGATGCAGACAAACCTCCAGCTGTGGCCCTCATCCAGAAGCACTTTGTGGCATCTTCCTAGGCACTAACTGGCATGTGTAGTCTCTCAACTTCCAAATCTGCTTTTCTTTTAAGACTTCGTGCGTACGTGTGTGCGTGCGTTTTTGCATGTTTGTGTGTGTGTGTGTGTGTGTGTGTGTGTGTGTGTGTGTGTTATAATGATAATCATATTTCTCAAATCCTTGATGTTGGCAGTCAAGCTCTGTGTGTGCGTGCGTGCGTGAGTGCATGTGCGTGTGTGCACGCACGCTTGCGCTTGCGCTTGTGGAAGCCAGAGGCTGATATTGGATGTCTTCCTCAATTGCTCTCTACCTAATTTTTTGAGACAGGGTCTCTCACTGACCCTTAAACTCACCGAGTAGTTTAGGATGGCTGGCCAGCAAGCCCCAGGGATCCACCTATCTCCATCTCTGAAGTACTGAGATTGCAAGTGTGCCCCACTGTGCTTATTGTGATGATACACAGAATTTGTCCTACTTTTTAGTTTGCTCTTATTTTCTGACATTTAGAAACTTGAAACGAAATGCTTTGAGCCAAGCATTGCAGGTGATGCCTGTAATCTCAGCACTCAGGAGGCTGTGACAGAAAGATTGCTGCAAGTTCAAGACCAGGCTAGGCTACAGACTGAGCACCCTGTCTCACTCCTCCCCTGCAAATACCAGAACAGGATGCCTTACCCCTGCTTTTGTATTGTTTTTGTTAAACATGTTAATGTCTGTGAATTCCAGTTCTATAAGAGCATAAACCTGTTTCAGCAACTCAGGTGGGGAATGAAATGTGAGCTAGGTTTTTGCTGTTGTTTACAGAGGACATTGGCACACAGAAGGAGGTGGTATTCATTTTGATGAGGAATAATTACAATAATGGTATTGAGACAAATGCCTCAAATTGACTTTGTGGAACATAGCCTAATTAACTTCTAGTCTTAATAGGATGTTAGCAATAGCAAGGATGATCTTATTTCCCCCCTTTAAGCAAGTGTCAATTATGTTGGACTGAGTCAACTGTAAACCACTCATAGCAGATTCTAGGTCTTCCTTAAGAGGTGGGGGAACCTGAGTCCAGGATTAGATGACTCAGGCATTGCTGGTTCTGCTTCCATCTGCAGCTTGTTGGTATCCACCTGAAATTGACTCCATACTGTGATCGTAAATGGTAACATTCCAGCGTCCTGCATAGGATGATTTTTGCCTTTGGAGCCAGAATGGATGCCTTAAACTTTTACTAGATTAAAGTGGCTACAGTGGTTATGATATTGGCTGAGAGTCTTGTTTTGAACCCAACTCCAGACCCAAATGTGAGAATTAATGGATGCCTCAAGTTGGACTTCCCATCAGTGCTGGGTTTGAGGTCTACTTTTGTCACTTCCCTCCATTTCAGATGCTTCCTTTACTTCCTTTGAGCTGTTGTCTCCAGGTAGGCCAAGCTTCCAACCTCTACTTCCTTCCGGTTCCTTGTGTGCTTCTTTGGGCTCTTTGCTGGGTGCAGATAGCTTCTGAAAGGCATAAGTGAATTTAATCTCCTGTGTTTTAGACTTCAGCTTTTTGAGGCAGGCCTACCTTCCTGCTCTAGGGCAGAACTCAGGAACACAGGCCCTTCCCTCTGGCTGGCGCCATGGTTGTATAAGCTATGGGGTGCTGGCTGTTTGTGATGTGGAAGAGCTGTCACATGTGTGCTCCTGCCTGTCTCTAAATGGGAAGAGGAACAGCTGCAGGGACAGAGAAGTGCATGTGGTTTCTGGGAGTCTGGGTGTGATACAGATAGCACTGGGGACTCTTAAGAAAGAGTCCAGCTGGTTCAGGCCAGCAGGTGTGGTTGTCATACAGTTTGTACATGTATGTACATTAGTGGGTAGTGTCATTCTCTGTAAGTTCTATTTTTTAAAATTTTTATTTATTCTTATGTGTGTGTTATGCCTACATGCATGTAAGGTCACACTGTGTCATGTGGCCTCAAAGGACCAAGGAGGGGATTGGATTCCAGGGAACTGGAGTTAGGGACAGTTGTTAGCCACTGTGTGGGTGCTGGGATTTGAATCTAAGTCTTCTACAAGAGCATCTGGTACTCTTAACTACTGAGCCATCTCTCCAGCCCACCAGGTTCTGTTTTTTTCCTTCGGTTAATGAGTGTTGTGCTCTAAGCCACTGTGAGTTTCATAGAAATTATCGTGTGGCTGGAGCATCTTATTCTGTTCACACATTGATTTTTGTGTGGTCTGGATGAGCGCTCCAGCCACTGAAGTGGTGGCTGTCAGGAATTGCTTGTATGGTTTCCTTATATCGTGAGCTTCTATGGTCAGCTTGTATGGTTTTTCCCCATACTTAGTAGATTTCATAAAATGATAAATCATTGAGATATGCTTTGAGCTGAACTTGCCTTGTATATTCTATTATGCATTTAACTGACAATGCTGGAGCAGAGAGCAGGAACACATCGCCTCCTTCCTGTATTCTTGTGCCTCATTGCTGGGGAAGGATTTCACAAGGGACTAGGACCATGTAACCATAACTCCTTCATTTGTTCAGTGATCACTGCTCTTTTTTTATGCTCAATTCTTTCATCTCCATTCCATGAATGATGACATATATTCTGTGTAAGTGTAATTAAATGAGTGTACAGTTTGTTTGTTTTGAGACAGGGTCTCTCTGTAGCCCCAGCTGGCCTGGAACTCACTATGGAGACCAGGCTGATTTTGATCTCACAGAGATCTGCCTGCCTCTGCCTCCTGAGTGCTGAGATTAAAGATGTGCGCCATGCAACATTTGGCAAGTGAACCGTTTTTTAAGTGTATGTATTTTCCTTTCTCTTGTTCGTCCTTCCTTTCTTTTCTTCTTGTTTTGGAGGCAGGATTTACTAGGTAGCCCTAGTTGACCTTCAGTTCACAGAGATCAGCCTGCCCCTGCTTCCTGAGTGCTGGGATTAAAGGCAAGTATATATATATATTTCTGTAAGCCTTTCCACATACTTCGGCTCTCAGCTCTTAGAACAAAGCTCCAGTTCTATGGTTGCTAGCTTAAAAAGAGATTTTAATATTAACAGATTTATAGGGAACAATATGGAGAAAGTTTTCTTTTTACACTGGGTGCAACTACAGTTGGTACATATTAACTTCCGACTATGCTTTCTGTGCTGTAATTACTCAGTTTTTGTTGAACATGCAAGATTTGTTAAGAGACCTTGGGCAAAGGGCTGAAAGGTGCAGAAATGACACATCCAGGACACTCATGTACAGATGTGGGCACTGTCTCTGCCATATCCACTTGATAGTACAATGGGAGACTTGCACGAAGATATAGATTATTTGCTCTATGAATTTATTCTTTTGTAGCAGGAACTCTTATGATTTGTATTTGGTCACAGCAATGAGAAAAGTAGCTAATGCAGTACTTCTTGAGTTGGATATGTGTTTCCTATGCAGTCATTAAAAGTTTAACGCTACCTTCATTAGAAGCTTCCAAGGCTCTGATCTCAGGTTAATGTCTAGGGTTATTTATTACCAAGTCCGGTATTTCTGTTAAGTAGGAATGCATTGCT